CAAATTGCTTTTATAAAAAATCAAATTAACAAAATAATTTTGATATTTTGTAAATATATTATATATAGATAATTTGGGCTTGGGTTTGGGATTTGAGCGTGAACAAACCAAACTACAATAGTTTGGGATTTGACCGGCAAGTATAATTCCAACCTTTAAAAAATACTAACACTAATGTTAAACTAATTTTATTAAACTTTACAATTCAAGTTTTTTAATTACACCAGATTCATACCAACTTTTAAGGCAGAGAGTTGCCCGTGCTTTTTCTGGATCCAAACGATTTCGTAAGGAGTTTATGGTATGTTTAGCGACTGAGAATATCTGCTCACTTGGTACACTAGTAGCCTGTATACACAGGTAGTCTTGAGCCATTTTTGCGATATTTTTGTAATTTCGATTATTTGCATGAGCTTTCCACCATGATAATACTTCACAATCAACTTCTGCTGATATAAGATAATTTCGTAATTCACTTGTTACACTAGAAGAATCAAAGGAACGTTTAAGAGTTTTTTTGAAATAATTGCGTGAAGTTAATTGTAAGCTATTTGTTTGGGATGATAAACTAGCATTAGAGGTACTGTATTTTGAATAAAGATTTTCTATATATTGTTGAGCTTTATGTTGTTTTTCTGCATTATATAATGAAAGTTTAATGTTTGGATCGAGTGGAGCAATCATAAAGGAAGATTGATCTAATTTTTGCCAATACTCATCAAATTTAATTGCCATAGCTGTTGCGACGAGTTTTGGTGTAGTTTCATTGACCGTATTATCGATAATTTCTTCAAGCGATTTATTAATTGTGGTGAATATTAAATGAAGATCTCCTAAAGTTGGATGACTCAATGATGAGAGCATTAAAGTTGCTTAGTAGATGGGGTTAAGAAGATTATAGATTTCCTATAATTGTATATTAAAAAAATTTTTTAAAAAATTTATTTATCATTAAATAAATAAATAAAGACATACTTCAATTTCTGACCATTCTAATTCAGTTGGATAATTTAGTTTTAATGAATTATTTGATGCAACAAGAATATCAGTCATGTCTCTAATTTTTTTTAACTTTTCAATCATTAGAAATGTGCTATTTCAACGGGTTGGAACATCTAGATCAGGAACAAGAAACTTCTTGTTTTTCATTTTAAATATATCTTTTAATTCTCGAAAAATCAGCTGTGAATTACGTATAGTAGATGCAAATGATCTTGCTTTCATAATAGAAGTATCAACAATTTTTAATCCTTCTGTAACAATTAAGTTTAAACTGTGGGCAGCACAATGATAATGCTGAAAATCGTTATTATTAAAATTTTCTTTAAGGCTTTGTTGAAAGTAAGTAGCAAAAGTAATCATGTTGGATCCGTTATTGGTTGTTGCTGCAATTATTTTTTCTCCAATTTCATAAAAACTAACAATTTCTAAAATAGCGTTTGAAATATTTAATCCCGTATGATCATCTTTAACAGGGACAAGATCGAGAAGCAATTTTTGTGCACTCCAATCATCATTAATCCAATGAAGCGTTATGGATAAATAATTACTGTTATTACAAGCAGTCCATAAATCGGTTGTAATAGCTAATTTTCTTATTGTTTTTAAAAAATCTTTTAATAATAATCGTTGTTTTTGATAAATCATTTCAATTTGATTAGATATAGTTTGCCGAGATGGTAATCGATACCGTTCATCAAGTTCTTCGATAAATTCAATGAAACTAGGATTTTCAACAACCATAAAAGATTGTTGATTACAAATAATCCACTTGATAAGCAGATAAGTAATGCGTTTAACTTTTGATTCATTATCTATTCCATAAGGTTGGACTGTTTTAGTTTTTTTAATTTCTAACTCTACTTGATTATAAATATTTGCATGAAATTTTTTAAAATATGATTTAATTGTACTAATTCCTGTTGATTTTTGCCATTGTACTTGAGGACGTTGTCCTGGACATGGTTTACAGCAGATGTAAAGACCATTTTCACTTGGTTCAAGATATTCACGTAAAGGATGAGGTTTTTTGCATTTTTTATTTGAATTATCAAATAATGATTCTGCAGTTAAAGGATCTACTTTTAATCCTTTTTGCAAAGAATCATGTATTTCGTTATATAAAGGATCTTGTTCTTCGATCATATTAGTATCTTTATTTAATATTATCTATGATGCAAAATTTAATATTCGAAAATAAAAAATTTCTCTTTAAATAAAAAATAATTTATTATTTTAATTGTATTTATTTCGCTTTTGTCATATTATTTTAATAATCATGTAATTAATACGTATGAGATTTGATAAAAAAAATAATTTATTATTTATTTTGCTTTTGTCATATCGATATTATTTTAATAATCATGTAATTAATACGTATGAGATTTAAACAATAACTCAAGTTTCCATAATAAGAAATAATAAACCATTTGAACAAAAACCGTTTGCCAAATTAAGAACAATAAACTGTTTAACAATAACTTGTTTGCCAATTTAAGAATAATAAACTTCAAATAGGAACTAATTGTCAAATCGAAAACAATAAATTAGTTCAGAGAAGCTATTTACCAAATTAATAAATATAAGCTAGTTTGAAACTTATGTCTTTTCTACTTTTAGTTTAGACTGAGGTTTTGAACAAAGATTGAACTGCAAAATAAAGAAACTCAATAAGCCGTTTTGAACTTAAGTTTTTTTGAACCATTTAACATCCCTAGTTTATTTGCTGTGACGTTAATATTCAAAGTCTTATAAATAATATAATAACGTTGACTTCCAAAAAATAACAATACAAGTATAGTGTTAGTTCAAGAAAATCCTATTGGCCGTAGGCACAGATCTCTACATATCATTTTCCTGACAACATTCTCAACAAACAAAATTCGGACAAAAATTGACCAAAACTAACACTAACTATAACCTAATGCGGGCTAACTTGCATAGGCATTTAATTATTAATTCAGCTTTTTTAATTTTAGTAATCTATTTTATATCGCAGATCTAGATCTATAAAAAGATTATGATTTGAAAGATGACATTTACGGTTAATTGCACCAGAATGAAGTGAATGTATTAGGAAGTGATTGCATTGGGAAAAGTGGAGGAGTAAAGTAGTTGTGTCAAAGAAGTGAAAGGTTTTCCAAGAAATTGTGACACTGTAATACAGTAATAATATACCGAAAAAATTAAAAATTTTAATAAAAATAATCATAATCATATTAATTAAAAACATACTAACCAGACCAATAAATATACACGAATATTCAGATATTAAAAAAATTGAATAAATGAAGATTCAGCTTTTCATTCTTCTTTTACCGGATCGAACTCTAACGGAACTAGTTATATATCTAATATTATGTAACCAAAGGCCTCAACCAGCTACAATTTGAATAATAAATTATTATTAACCACACATCGTATAAACAAATATATCATAGGATTACTGTATATTTTGAAGCAATTCAGATTGGTATACTTCGAATTGTATTACTTCTTTTACCGTTACCATTTGTAGATGTATAAAAAAACAAATTCCGAACTCTAATGACAGATTTTACTGATGACTATTCAAAATCTGATTTGAAGCCTATTCTGCTATATAGGTATAACAAATATGTTTTTTTTTAATTAATTGCGTTCTTAAATGCCTTAATCAATGGGACAAAAGGTGTCGGTGAATAAGTTTTACTTAGCGGAAAATATTTTAAGGTCAAATATGGTTATTATCCGTAATGAATATTTGAATAAGCATCGTAGTTTAATTTAATACATAAAGTTTATTACCTAATTAATATACTTTTATTAATAAAAGATAATACGTGAGTTATCTTTTCAATTTACAACCATTTTAGGCTTACAATTAATTAAGTACGTATTCAAAAAAAATCGCACAAATAACCTTATCATGCAACATTCGAATATTAACGAAAAAAACGTAGTGATAACGACATTTGATATTAAGTAACAATTACAATTCTTATTTTGGTTGATTATAGTAATTGAGAATCGTCGCGTTTATTAGCCAACTTTAATTACTTCTTAATTTGCGCATTTTACATATTCGATTTGTTATCAAAAATTTGACCTAAATATAATTATGGTTGTGCTCGATTACGATCATGATCTAATCACGTAAAGGTTAACCCATTGTAAAATAAAACTATAATATTTTCTAAATTCTAGTGGCCACAATGATTGGGATTTTATTTATTGGTTATTCGTTTAATTTTATTAATAAATCATATTCGCGAAATTCTTAGTTTTAAATCGGAAAAAAATTTTAATGATAAGACCAAAAAAAACAAAAAAAAATAGTATTTTATAAAATGAAAAAAAATAACCTTCGCATACTAAAAAAAAAAAAGGAAAAAGAAAATTAGTAAATAATTAAATAATAGTCGAGTACAACAAGTATAATGCCGCCTTTATTACGCAGCATAATATATTCGTCAAACACTTCAGAAAAGTATATTTCTTTTTTTCTTCATTTACTTTTAAAGAGAGCTAAAATTTAAAAAAATAAAATAAAAAAACGTAAGTATTAAAGATATCATCATTACAACCGCAGATTTGCCTTACACCCGTTTCGTCGCCACAACTTAGAACATCATTGTAGTTCATCCTCGTCGCTACAACTTGGGTCATCATTGTAGCTCATCCTCGTCTCTACAACTTAGAACATCGTTGTAGTTCATCCTCGTCCCTACAACAATCGTTGTAGTTCACCCTTGTCCCTACAACTTAAACTTCATTGTAGTTCATCCTTATCCCTACAATGTGAACACCAAGGTAGTTCATTCTTGTCCCTACAACTTGAACATCATTGCAGTTCATCCTCCAGGGCAGCGTAACTTATGACATGTGGTACGCTAGATAACCCATACTTTGTACTCACAGACTTAAATTTCTTCTATTCAAATCCAAAATGTTAACGTAGTGTTGTCGTAAGCGCCTTAGCTAATGCTTTACTTCTTCCTAATCCAAGCTCCAACGTGACATTATTGCAAAGTATATCAGCTAATACTTTTCTTCTTTTGTTTCAATATCCAAAAAAGTTGACACAGTGTTGTTCCATATTGTATACTGCCTTTCTCCTTTTGATTGACGTCAAAAAAGGCACCGCGGTGTTATTGCAAGGTGTATTACTTCCAGTTTTAATTTATTGTAGCTAATATTCCAAAAAGTCGACGTGATGTTTTTGTAAAATGCAGGTGCTAATACTATTTTCTATTCTACATAACCAAAAGTGCAACAAAACTAGAAAACAAAAAAAAAAAAAAAATTAAGTAAATCATCGCGTCTACTATCAAAAATCAAAACAGTTTTTTTTGGTTAAATATAGAGTTTGGAACCGGTTTTATTTTTCTTATGTTAAATCCGATTAAAGCCGGTTTTAACATAAGAAAAATAAAACTGGTTCCAAACACTAGTTAAAATATTAATACAACCTTAAAAAAAGGAAATCAGCTGAGTTTGTACCCATTTTTACGAATAAGTATTCGTTGCGAAGATAAATCATGTGACTATCGACCAATCGATTTATAGAAAATCCTAAAAACGACAATCTGAACGAAACTTGGTATATTATTGCGCTTTGCAGAAAGGTGACCTCTGCAGATCATCGTGTAATGCAAAATCGTGGGAAATTAGACGATTTTTCGATTCTAAGAGAATTATAAATATATGCAGATATCACTAATCGAATATATTATTGATAGAACCAGAATCTTCGAAATTCTCCGCTATAATAAATAATGTTGGGGATGTAATTTTACTTATAGAAACCCCATGTTCTTATTCTAACCCAATCATAAACCTAATATTAATTCAATAAAATAAATGAAATATTACCGTATAGTACTCCCTGGAATAGTATCCCCCATATTTTTGAAAAGCGGGTTTTGATCCAATTTTCATAATTAATAGTGCAATCTTTTCACTGTGCTTGGTATGTTCAATAGCAAGCTATATAGTGATAAGTAACAACTAATTGTATCATCTTTCAATCTCTAATGTCTGGGGGTATATTTAATATAGGACGGCTTTCTTGAATAGTACCCGGGGTACTATATGGAGTGCTATACAGTAATTTATACATTATTAGATAACGAGACAACGTAATTATCAAAATTTCGTTACGTATACGTACGATGATTACATTATTATTTAATAGTATATATGCAGTGCACAAAATTTCCGGATGATATAATGTGATTTTCTCATAAAGTGTTTTTTCCTTAATAAATCATAGCCGGAAGTAGTAATCTTAGCATTTACTCACACACCTCACGGAATTTCAAAATTGGTTCACCGATTAGGATGTCACCAATTAGTTTAATCACAAAAGTAGGGCTAGTTATATAGTAGTGATCATTAGTGAAAATTTTTTGAGTGATTTATCCGAAATTTTTAGTTCACATGAAATTACTACGTAAGTAAAAACGTCTTTTTAAAAAATCTAATAACTCTTGCTGTACTTAATTTGTTTAGATTTAATAAATTGATTTTTTTAATTCTTCATATATGTCTTTATCAAGTAATAACCGCATATTTTAAGTATTTTAAAAATATCTAGTGTCAATTAATATGTATTATTTGTCCTTCGCTACGCTCTGGACACTATTCTGTAAAGGGTGATATACAAGGTTTGTTTGTCCGGCCACATCACGTGAAGATCGTCCAATCAATTATATATAGTATAGCGTAGTGTTTGGAACCGGTTTTATTTTTCTTATGTTAAAACCGGTTTTAATCGGATTTAACAAAAGAAAAATAAAACCGGTTCCAAACACTAATATAGCGATAGTAAATGTAATTTAATACGTACTCGTTACATCATTTAAATAACAGGCATTTTTTAAATACTTAAAATATGCGGTTATTTATGATGAAGACATATTTAAAGAATTTAAACTAGTTTATTAAATCTAAAAAATTAAAGTGCAGCAAATTTTTAAAAAGACGTTTTTGCGTTTACTTGCGGGAAATTTAATGGATATGCTATATGATCTGCTACGTATACCAGCCGTTTTTTTCAAATTTTCTATAAATCGATTGGTCTATGATCACATGATTTATCTTTCCCATGAAATCGATCCTGAGTGGTACAAACTGTTTGTATCATTCGCAGAAATTAATATTTAACCAAAAAAATGGATACGACACGATGATTTACTTAATTTAATTTAAATTTTTTTTGTTTTTTTTAGTTCTGTTGTAGAATAGGAATAGTATTAGCACCTGCAAAAACAACACGTTGACTTTTTGGAATATTGGTTACAATAATTTAGAACTGGATACATCTTGCAACAATACCGCAGCACTTTTTAAACGTTAATCAAAAGAAGGAAAGCAATATGGAACAACACTGCGTTACCTTTTTTGGATTTTGAAACAAAAAAAGAAAAGTATTAGCTGATGTACCTTGCAATGATGCCACGTTGACTTCTTTTTGGATCTTGGATTAGGAAGAAGAAAAGCATTAACTAATGTGCTCGCGACAATACTGCGTTAACATTTTGGATTTGGATAGAAGAAATTTAAGTTGGTGAGTACTTTCGCCTACTAAGTATGGGTTATCTAGCGTACCGCATGTCATAAGTTACGTTGCCCTGGAGGATGAACTGCAATGATGTTCAAGTTGTAGTGACAAGAATGAACTACCTTGGTGTTCACATTGTAGGGATAAGGATGAACTACAATGAAGTTTAAGTTGTAGGGACAAGGGTGAACTACAACGATTGTTGTAGGGACGAGGATGAACTACAACGATGTTCTAAGTTGTAGAGACGAGGATGAGCTACAATGATGACCCAAGTTGTAGCGACGAGGATGAACTACAATGATGTTCTAAGTTGTGGCGACGAAACGGGTGTAAGGCAAATCTGCGGTTGTAATGATGATATCTTTAATACTTACAAAATTTTTTTTTTAAATTTATAGCTTTCTTTAAAAGAAAATGAAGAAACAAAAAAGAAATATATATACTTCTTTAAAGTGTTTGACGGGCGTAATAAATGCGGCATTATACTTGATGTACTTGACTATTATTTGACTATTTACTAATCTTTTTTTTTTCTTTTCTTTTTACATACAAAAGGTTATTTCTATTTATAAAATGTTGTTTTTTTTTGGTCTTATTATTTAAAATTTTTTTCCGATTTTAAAACTAAGAATTTCGCGAATATGATTTATTAATAAAATTGTATTAGAAAATATGTAATGGAATTTTTTTATATTAAATGTTAATAAAATTGGGTTTATTGCTGTGACGTTAATATTCAAAGTCTTATAAATAATATAATAACGTTGACTTCCAAAAAATAACAATACAAGTATTGTATAGTGTTAGTTCAAGAAAATCCTATTGGCCGTAGGCACAGGTCTCTACATATCATTTTCCTGACAACCTTCTCAATAAACAAAATTCTGACAAAAATTGACCAAAACTAAAACCTAATGTGGGCTAACTTGCATAGGCATTTAACTATTAATTCAGCTTTTTAACTTTAGTAATCTAGATCTATAAAAATGATAAATATGATTTGAAAGATGACATTTACGGTTATTTACCTTACATTGCATCAGAATGAAGTGAATGTATTAGGAAGTGATTGCGTCGGGGAAAGTGAAGGAGCGATTGTCAGTAAAGTAGTTGCGTCAGAGAAGTGAAAGGTTTTCCAAGTAAATTATGTGACCCTGTAATACAGTAATAATATATCGAAAAAAATTAAATATTTTAATAAAATTAATCATATTAATTAAAAACACGATACTAATCGGACTGTAATGAATGGGTCAGGTCTCTAGGTACCGTGTAATATGAATCATATATTCAATAAATATACACGAAGATTCAGGTATTAAAACAATTGAATAAATGAAGTTTCAGCTTTTCATTCTCGAACTCTAATGACAGATTTTACTAATGACAATGACTATTCAAAATTTGATTAGAAGCTTATTCCGTTATATAGGCATAACATTTATGTTTTTTTTTTTAATTATTTGGCGTTCTTAAATGCCTTAATCAATGGGACAAAAGGTGTCGATGAATAAGTTTTACTTAACGGAAAATATTTTAAGAGGGTTAAATCTGTTTATTATCGTAATGAATTTTTAAATAAGCATCGTAGTTTAATACGTAAAGTTTATTACCTAAGTAATATACCTTTATTAATAAAAAAATAATACGAGTTTATCTTTTCAATTTACAACCATTTTAGGCTTACAATTAATTGTGTATTCAAAAAGATCGCACAATTAACCTTATCATACAATATCCGAATATTAACGAAAAAAACGTAGTGATAACGATATTTGATAAAATATTAATGAATCGTTCGAGTATCAATTAAATAACAATTACAATCTTTATTTTGATTGATTATAGTAAATGAGCATCGTCACATTCATTAGCTAATCGCATAGAGAATAACGCTTGAGCAAACTTGATTACTTAATTTGCACGTTTTACATATTCGATTTGTTATCAAAATTAATCACGTCGAGGTTGACCCATTGTAAAACAAAACTATAATATTTTCTAAATTCTAGCGGTCACAATGATTGGGATTCTATTTTTTATTTATTCATTTAATTTTATTAATAAATCATATTCGCGAAATTCTTAATTTTAAAATCGGAAAAATTTTTAAATAATACGACCAAAAAAATATAAAAAATAACACTTATAAAATAGAAATAACCTTTTGTATGCTAAAAAGAAAAAAAAATTAGTAAATAGTCAAATAATAGTTAAGTACATCAAGCATAATGCCGCATTTATTACGCCCGTCAAACACTTTAAAGAAGTATTTATATTTCTTTTTTGTTTCTTGTTTCTTTTAAAGAGAGCTATAAATATTAAAAAAAATAAAAAAAATTGTAAGTATTAAAGATATCATCATTACAACCGCAGATTTGCCTTACACCCGTTTCGTCGCCACAACTTAGAACATCATTGTAGTTCATCCTCGTCGCTACAACTTGGGTCATCATTGTAGCTCATCCTCGTCTCTACAACTTAGAACATCGTTGTAGTTCATCCTCGTCCCTACAACAATCGTTGTAGTTCACCCTTGTCCCTACAACTTAAACTTCATTGTAGTTCATCCTTATCCCTACAATGTGAACACCAAGGTAGTTCATTCTTGTCACTACAACTTGAACATCATTGCAGTTCATCCTCCAGGGCAGCGTAACTTATGACATGCGGTACGCTAGATAACCCATACTTAGTAAGCGAAAGTACTCACCAACTTAAATTTCTTCTATCCAAATCCAAAATGTTAACGCAGTATTGTCGTGAGCACATTAGCTAATGCTTTTCTTCTTCCTAATCCAAGATCTAAAAAGTCAACGTAGCATTATTGCAAGGTACATCAGCTAATACTTTTCTTTCTTTGTCTCAAAATCCAAAAAGTTGACGCGGTGTTGTTCCATATTGCTTTCCTCCTTTTGATTAACGTTCGAAAAAGCGCAAGATATATTTGTTGACTCCACTTCTAGTTCTAATTTATTATAACCAATATTTCAAGAAGTCAATGTGTTGTTTTGCAAGGTGTATCTGTAACCAATATTCCAAGTCAACGTGTTGTTTTTGTAAGAAGCAGGTACTAATACTAGTTTCTATTCTACATAACCAAAAGTTAACAGAACTAAACAAAAAAAATCAAAAAAATCATCGCATCTACTATTTTGTATCCTATTTTTTGGTTAAATATTAATTTCTTTCGAATGATACAAACCCAAAAAAAGGAAATCAGCTGAGTCTGTACCAGGATCGATTTCGTGCGAAGATAAATAAATCATGTGATCATAGACCAATCGATTTAAGAAAAATCATATCTATTAAATTCCCCACAAAAACGTCTTTTTAAAAAAATTTAATAACTCTTGCTGTACTTAATTTTTTAGATTTAATAAACTAGTTTTAATTCTTTAAATATGTTTTCATCATGTAATAACCACGTATGTATTTAAAAAATGCCTGTTATTTAAATAATGTATGTTTATTTTATTATATAATTTATATATTGTAACAATACATATTAATTACTTAAAATATGCGGTTATTACTTAATAAAGGCATATGCGAAGGTCTAAAAAAATTAAGTACAGCAAGAGTTATTAAATTTTTTAAAAAGACATTTTTAATTAGTAATTTCATATGAACTAAAAATTTCGGACAAATCACTCAAAAAATTATCACTAATGATCTATCACTATATAACCAGCTCTATGTTTGTGATTAAACTAATTGGTGACATCCTAATCAGTGAACCAATTTTGAAATTCCATTCTAAATTAATATTTAATACACTTCGCGTAAAATCGCGCAATGTAACCTTGCGTGAGGTGTGTGAGTAAATGCTAAGATTACTACTTCCGGCTATGATTTATTAAGTTCCAGTTAGGAAAAAACACTTTCTGAGAAAAATCACATTATATCATCCGGAAATTTTGTGCACTGCATATATTACATATGATACTTGTTCTACTGATAATTTTGGCAAATAAAAATGTAATCATCATATACGTAACGAAATTTTATATAAATTACCGTATAGCACTACATATAGTACCCCGGGTAGCATAGGTGAAGTTCATTATGATTGGCTAATAAATTTTAAAAATGGTCACCAAAATTAGTGATTATGATTACGTGTATTTGTATTTGTACTAC